AGTTAAATATGCAGGCAGCTTCCGTCAGATTCAGGCTTGCCATCCTAAAAACGATTCAAATGATGAGCATATTACTTACCACAGCTTCTCATTCTTTGAAATGTTTAAAAACTATTCTAAGGCTTGTTCATTCCTCTTCTCTTCCATTACATGGGTCAGTATGTAAACAACACATGCATGGCCAGCAAGGCAGAAAACTCAATTATGGTGACCCCAACAGAAACAGCCACAGCCAAGTTTCCCCTTGCTTAGGCCAGGCCAGGTGCATCACGTCTGTGCTCATGCAGCAGGGATTGTGCGATACATTCTGATTGCAGAGATGATTAGACATTCGGAAGGGAGACCCTTAGAGATGACAGCATGTGATGCTCTTTTATTGCTTCTCATAGCATTGTCCCTTTTATGATTCTACTTGAACTCAAACTGTCAGAAAGGGTATAGCAATGAGCAATATGACTGTGGTGCCCAGGGTTCCAAAAAGAAACCTTCAGTGTTTCCGTGCCAACCGGCATCCATCCCAAGAGTTGTCTGTGAATAAGCTGGGTCCACCTGTGGTGTGTCAGCCACTGGCAAACTTCGGAGGCTGCAGGGCACAGAAAAAAACCCAGCCTTGGCTGTACTCCTCTCAAAGCCTAGCATTCTTAGATGTGGAGGTGGCAGACGGGTCCGACAAACCTAGGGCAACAAAGGATGCATCCTGTGGCCTGCGGAGTGTCAGGGAAAGCGCGTGTCCTTCCTTTGAATTTGGAGGGTCAGGTGAGGATGGGCAGACATTCGCAAAAGTAAAGTCTCTTTAAGGGGCCTGTTCAGAAACCTCTGTGCAGGAACTAGTCACCTGCCTCCAGGTGAGACTTAAAAACAAACAAACAAAACATACATTTGTTTGTTCGTATTTACCTGTATTATCTATTTAATTTTGTTTTATGGCACCACCTATTAACATTCCTTTAATGCATTTTCAATGTATTTGATGTATGCTGATCAATTATTTCTCATTTTTTGTCCTTTTTTTTTGAGATGGAGTCTCACTCTCTTGCCCAGGCTGGAGTGCGGTGGTGCGAGCTTGGCTCACTGCAACCTCCGCATCCTGGGTCTCATGAGTAGCTAGGACTACAAGCATGTGCCACCATGCCCAGCTAATTTTTGTATTTTTAGTAGAAACAAGGTTTCACCATGTTGGCCAGGCTGGTTGCAAACTCCTGACCTCAAGTGATCCACCCACCTCGACTTCCCAAAATGCTGAGATTATAGGCATGAACCACCGTGCCTGGCACTAATTTTAATGTGATGTTACTCCCAAGAACTCTTGGAAGTAGAGTAGACATGAAGCAATCAGATGTCCCCATGGACCAGTGATTCTCAGTCCTGGCTGTGCATTAGAAGCTGCTGGGGAGTTCTTAAAATATACCCATGTTCACACTCATGTCTGAGACCAATTTAGATTAAACTAGAATATCTGGGGGTGAGGCCCAAACACTGGTTTATTTATTTGCTTATTTATTTTTGAGACAGAGTCCTGCTCTGTTGCCCAAACTGGAGCACAGTGGCACGATCTTTGCTCCCTGCAACCTCTGCCACTTGTGTTCAAGCGATTCTCCTGCCTCAGCCTCCCAAGTAGCTGGGATTACTGGTGTGCACCACCACACCTGGCTGACTTTTGTCTTTTCAGTAGAGATACGTTTTCACCATGTTGACCAGGCTGGTATCGAACTCCTGGCTTCAAGGGATCTGCCTGCCTTGGCCTCCCAAAGTGCTGGGATTACAGGTGTGAGCCACCATGCCCAGCCAGTACTGGTATTTTTTTTAATTACTCAAGTTGATCCTAATGTAAGCACAGGTTAGAGCCACTGCACAGGGTGGTGATGCTCAAGGCTTGCTGCATGTGGGTCACCTGGGATGCTCTTAGAGCATATTAATACCTAGGCCTCAACCTATATCAATTGAATCCAAATTTTAAAGCTTCTGGGTGATTCTAATGTGGAGTCAGAATTGAGATGTACTGCCTTAGACCAGAGAAGAATAACTTCTTCTTACTTTACATCTCATCTCGAATTATGTAACCATGTCATTCAAACAAACCTGTTATTGGTCCTTATGTTATTAAGTCCAAACTTAATTATTGTGCATCAGCCCACACAATAAAAACTTCTACTGGTCAAATGAATTCCTTGATCTTACCCTGAAGTTAAAGTCTGGGCATACGGAGATATTATCCTCTTTCCCGTTTTCTTCTTCATTTGTTTAGCCCCAGTTGGAGGGGCCTCATTCAAGAATCTAAGTGGAGCCAAAGTTCTGCTTCACCAAGGCCCACAAAATGGTGAGTTGATAGGCTGGGCAAACACACAAAAGCCCCCAACAAATATTCAAAACACCCCAGAACCACATATGGCTGTGTTTGTAGTTTACCAGTCATGTATCAATTCCTCAGTTTTCAAACATAAGTGGCAGGCCCAGACCTATTCATTTCTTACACTCTAGACAAATGATTCTCAAAGGAGTTGCCTGGGCCATCAGCAGCAGCATCTCCAGGGAGCTAATTAGAAAATTCTAGGGCTTTGTTCAAGGTCTACTGAATCAGAAATTCTGGGATGGGACCCAGAATCAATAGATCTGATTCAGTAGATCAGAAATGGGGCCCAGGTTTGTAACAAGCCTTCCAGTTGATGCAGAACTCACTCAAATTTGAGAGCCAGTGATCACCAAAGGCTCTTTAATGTAACCAGCTGAAGACCCCTGCAGAGACTGAATGTTCTGTACATGAGCAGGCAAAGAGAAACCAAAGAGATTTGTGATTTTACTTATCTTGGGTAGCAATAGACTCATTCCAGTTGTTCAGAGTCCACCCCTTTGAACTTAGAACAAAGATAACTCTCCATCCAGAGTTTGGATAAGTCTCCCATCAAGGTTAACTGACATTGAGATGACCATGTCTTCGCAACATGAAACAATGTGCGCCATGCAAACAATCTTCTTTCTCCCGGAGAAATTATGTGAATGCTTGGGCAACATTCGGAAATTGCCAGTGTGGCGTCTCCAGGTACTTCCTGAGTCACCATTCTTTCCTTTGGTGTCATCTTGTACATTTAAAACCTTTTGCATTCTTCTTTTCAACTTCCCGTTTGTTCTCTGTGTCCCTAGCAGCTCAATTCTGAATTTCGTGTGGGTTCTGTGTAGGGAGGAATATAGTCGCCACCCTCCCATGGCCCAGGAATCCCATAATTAAAATGAGCAATACTCCAAAGTAATCTCACGGCCTTTTGTGTGTCTCACAATGACAGTCTCTGCCACAAATATAAAACAGGGGAAATGAGCCTGGGTAATGGACACAGGCCCCCATCCCTTCCCACAGATTCGTATCACAGAGCAAAGAGCCTACATAACTGCCTTCCACTGGGTAGAGGGTTAATGCCTTTTAACTTGGTAGTTTTGTGGTTAGAGGCTCCCAAAAAATAACTTCTATTGTGAGTATTGCACCCTCCTCTACCGTTGCAGGAGACTTGCGTTTTCACACATGGCCTGAGTTCCTTCCTTCCCAGCACACCTGCCTGCCAAATCTCATCCCTACCTCTGCCTGAGGACTCCAGATGTTAGTACTGATGGATGATGGAAACAGGACCAAGTCTGAATTCATAGCTGGTCACAGCAGCACTGCCCCTGGTTCCTGGAGGCAGCCTGGAGGGCAAGCTTTGTTCCTCATTAGTGCGTGAGCTGATGGCCACAAGTTGACATGAAGGACTCCTTTTGTTTTATTCAACGTAAAGCCCCTTTCCCCAAAATCTTACTCTGGTTTCTTTATTTTCTTACTCCCTCCACTATCCCCAGCTCTTTTTTTCCCTAGAGCTTTATTGGGGTACAATTTACTTAATAAAATTTACCCATTTCAAATGTATGATTCTCAGTACATTTAAAATTGTGCAACCATCACCACAGCTTAATTTTATCACATTTTTTCACCCTATCTGCAGTCACATCTGGGTCCTTTTTGGCAACTGGGATGCCTGGGCCATCTGCTGTCACCCTCTCCTGGGAGAGATGATCTCAAAGAGCCCAGAGAAAGTTCATTCAAAAAAAGTTCTTTGTTGCTCCCACCCAAACGCTGCTCTTCCCCTAGACTTGGGCTCCTACCATAGCTCTGGCTTTGATCCCTGAGAGCCCCTGTCCCAGACAGTACAGTGCGGGGAGATGGTGTAAGCCCATTTCAACTTCACACACATCAACAGGCCTGTTCAACCTTGTATGTGAAGCTGCCAACGTGTGCTTCTGTGGGAAGTGGTTAAGAGCCCAGGTTCAAATGCAAGCACTGCCATTTACAAGCTATGCATTGAGAAACTCGCCTCCTACGGCTGCAGTTTCCTACTATGTAAAATGGAAATCAATATAAATATACCATATTCACGAAGAGCCTGGAGTACCTGTCACATTCTCAGTGACATTCGCAAATGTTATCCCCTGTTCCTAGACTTTGATCACAGTTTTAAAGGGGACTTCCCCACTTCCAAATTCGGAACTCTCACCACTTAAGAGGTTGAGAGATGTCACCCCTGACAGGTGCCACAGAACACCCCCAGATGCGCAGAACAGGAAGATGTGGTCGGAAATCCTGGGAGAAAGGCTGGAAGAGTTACAGATCAGGAGAGATAAAAAAAAGAGACAGCTGGAAACGAGGTACCAGGAAGAGGAGGAGCAGAAGGAAAGACCAGGAAACTGACAGTCAGGGGTCAGGGGCCCAGGGCTGGATGATGGGATGGAGCAGGTGGAGACTGAAGGGGGAGCAAGGAAGCTGAAGGAAGGGCAGGAGGAAATGTGGGGAGGACGCGTTCTGATGAACCTGTGGTCTTCGTATGCTCTTTAAAGTCCAAAATTCTCTATTCCTTGCAGATGAGAGCCAAATACACGTGTTCGGAAAGTATTCTCAAGGTTAGAACCAAAAGCCCCAGGCAAGGCTGGAGTTTACGGTTCATCCTGTGTTTGTCCAGCTGTTGCTGTGGCTCCGAAGTCTATGTGCTCAAGAGGTACCTGCAGCTTCTGGCATCTAGTCAGGGTGGCTGGGGACAGCACTGAAAAGGGGGCTGTGGGAACAGCCTGGTGCCGCAGGGCCTCCTCAGCTCAGATTGCTTCCTTCGTTCCAAACGTGAGGAAGCAGAAGCTGTCACAGTGGCAGCCAAGGAGGCTCGCGTGCCACTGTTTGGCCAGGTCTTCCACCCTCCCCCACGGTCAGACAAGCAGCCATTATTTTTAAAAACTCAACACACATTGGGTTTTAATGAGAAAATAACTGTATACTTGCATTGAATGCCTCACAGTCACTATAAAACCAAAGCAGGATAATAACATTTAAGTGGTTAACATACACAGGAAAGCCAGATACAGAGTATAATTTCCAAACACAGTATTGCTGCTTTTTCCCCCTCCTCCCCCAAGAAAAGAAAACAAAGAAAAAAATCATTTGGGTAAAGAGCAACACAAAATCAAAATTGGCAGCTCACTGAATGCTAAAAATTCAGGAAATTGGTTCTTTAACTAAAATGGAATATATTCACCATCTCTAACAGGCTACTTTTTTTCAATACATAGTTTAATTAAATCCATTCTTTAGTTGGGGATAAAAAGGTTTAATTGTCTTCAGAGACAAGAATCAACACTGTTTTAGTGTTCCTTGTTACGCACTACATATGTATGTGTGAGAGTGTGTGTGTGTGTGTGTGTGTGTATGTGGACACTGATCTATATACGGCTTATATGTCATTGTCTAGGGTGAGCAGCATGCATGGGTATGAAGAGGCAAGTAAATTGCATTGCGTCATCCAAGTAAAACACAACCCGGCCTCCTGCCACTGACAGACCCTGTTTCCATAATTTCTGGATGAGAAAGCCAAGGCATGTCAGTAGTTAATCAGCTCTGGAGGAAAAAGAACACCTATACACACAGCAGAATGCAATACTTCCAGAAAGGCTTTTCACATCTACAGAATCTAAACATTTTGTAAGAGGTAAGGTTAACAAGCTTGCGTGCTATTTAGGGGTGGGGCCGAGCATCAGAGGCAAAGTTTTTCATAAGCCTCCTTCTCTCGATGGATTAAACAGGAATGACTTTCCTCCAGGGGACGGTCCCATCTTCAGAAAGTTAAAAGGGTTCATTTGGAATCCCAGAGCCTAGCACAGTGGTATGTACAAAGCGGTGGCCCAAGGTTTCTTGAATGAATAAAAAACTCAAGAGCACAGAGAAAATCTGGCTCTCCCAAGTAAACTATAAATTTACATTTTAATGGGATTATAATAGGATCTTCAGTGAGTAGAGCACGAAAATAGACAGCAGTAATCCGGAAGGCAGCATAGGAGAACTAGCAAAAGTTAAGAGATGTGGGGCCACAGTGAAAACAGCTTTGTGACTGTGGGAGAGTCCCAGAAACAGTGTTTCTTTCCTTATCCACACACACAGCATGGCCCCAGACCCCCAGCTCTGTAACTCTGATATTCCTTAAGGAATAAGTGTTCTGGTTCAATCAACTGTGGTCAAAGACCACTTCATTGCCTCTGAAGCGATTCTGTGAATAGTGTGGCCTCTTAAGCTTTTCCCTTAGCTGTACGTTCTCTTGTCAAATGTAGGTTTCATGTAGCACACGGTTTCCTTCAAAACAGACCAAAAAACTTTAAGGTAAGTCATAAGGATGGTTTCCTCTTATGAAAAATGGGGGAGTTATTATCAAGTCTATGGTCTCTAAAAGATCCATGAGTCAGTCTAAGAAAACATGCAGCAAATTTTTTGTGCAACCCATTGAACTATCCTGCTCTCCAGCCATCCTAACTGCCACCGTGCCTGGCGCCTGCAAGGCTGCTGCCTCTGTTCTTATCCCTGTGTCTGCCTTGGGAACACCTCCTCGTCACCGAGTCCTCAGCCCAGGCATCGGGGACCTCTAGCTGGAAATTCTCAGGCAAAGACAATCCTCCTTCCTGGGTCCTCCCATTCCACATCTGGACTTCTAATCTAACACGGATCTCATTTTCCTGAGAATGTTAGTCTCCATGGCAGCCTCTCTCACTATAAAATGAATTTCCTGCAACAGGGATCTTATTTATTTTGTGTCCCCAGTGGCTAGCACATTTTGTTGAGAATTCATTCAGAATATTCAGGAGAATGAACCATATAAAGATGGTGCCAACTGCCCATGTCTGTTTTGGCTGCCATCTGTAGAATGTGGCTTCAAGTTACAGGTTCCCTTGACAGTTTTAAAGGATCCTCGTTAGTAGATGGTTCCTTTTTTTACTTTGTGCCTACTTCTCATCTGTGAATAAACTTCGCCCCCAAAGTCAACACTAGACTAATAAAAGAAACACAGGAAATGTGCATTAACATCTACATACAAATTTTGTGGAATTGCTATTTGTTAGAACAACATACTAGAGCTTATGACATAACAATATAAAAACAAAAATGATTTTTAGTGAGGTCTTACTTAATTATTGCTTTTTTAAAAACCACAGTTTTAAAACAAAGGAAAAAAAAAAAGGAGGGTGGGTTATTTTTTTTCTCTCTCTCTCTCTCATTGCCAGAATTGAACATTTTCTCATCCAGAAATTTAGGGCACCAAATTATTGAATACCCTTATCATATTGCTTTAAATGACAGAAAGATTAAAGCTGGCATCCTCTATAGTATACTAAGCATGAATACAAAGCATGAGAATAAATAGGAGACTTTCCTATGTGTCCAATTACAAAACTGCTCAAAACTCTGCAACTGTGACTCATGCAAATACCTTGTTAGGTCAATTTAATATTACAAATACTGCATCAGCTCGGTGCCTTTATATCCCTTTTCATAAAAAAGAAATTCTCACTCACTCCTGAAGCCAGCAAACAGCTTTGGAGGAATTACCTGTACACCCAAGTGCCATGGTCATGCTGGAATTTTAATCCACACACACATACACCATTACTCGTGAACATACACATTTTACACACACACACAGTGGTGTACACACACACACATCCCGTCTTTAGGATTTGTAGCTGATTCCAAGCCTTCACTTAAATTTCTATTCTATATTTTTCTTTGTATAACCCTGAAAAACACTGGTTGCTCGGCAAAAATGGTATCTCTTATCTCCTTATTTTGTTCCCATTCTTTCTTCCTCCCTCCCTTTTCCTCTCTCTACCTTCATTACTTTTCCTTCGTGTTTCCCTTCTGATTGACCCCAAAAGAATCCAGCATTCTTCTTCCTATCTCTAAGGCCCAGTTTATAATACAAAATAGTTAGAAACACCTTTTTATTTCTTGTCATCCACCTCTCCAAGGCAGAGTTTGCCTTTTTTTTTTTTTCAATTATTGCCACTCTAAAAATACCCCTACCATCTTGAACCAAGTTGTTCAATGTAGACAGGTTCTATACATGTATATATTCCCCCATCCCATCATAAAAATAGTTGTTGCCCACTAAATATAGTTTTCCTATGAAGAAACCTAACTGTGAACATGTGTTCTCATCAACTGCAGATCAGCGAAGAGAATAAGCAGACATGATCCTAAAGCTAATATCATCCATTTGGTTTGGTTTTCTCTTCCCCTTTCTCAGCCTCCTAATGTAGCAGAGATTGTGTTTGCAACATGAAGAAACATTGTCTTAAAATGTGAATTGTACGAACTGTGATCATGAATTGTTCTCAATTAAAAATAATTAAATGTAAGAGAAGTGGAATCATAACTGCCTCTTCTGGGCAAATATGGAGAGAAACACCATTCATTTTATGGCTGCTGGAGAAAATGGAGTTAATGCAACACCCTCTGACGCTGTGAGCGACAGGTGGGAAACTGGTGTAGGGAAATATCCTGTGCCATGTAGGTTACACCAGCCTGGGCCCTACTGCTCTCTAAGTGATCCTATCACCACTGTCCTTCATCACCCAGAGAGGCTGGTCTCAGTTCTGCCTGTAGCAGCTACGTGGATTTGCTTGTAACATCATTTGTCCTTTTGGATCAATTGTGGATTGGCCCAAAACCAGACACTGGGACTAAGTCACCAAAAAAAATCCTTTCTCTTTTGACTCCTGGGTGTCCAGAGTCTGATGGGTGAACTTCCTTTTCATCTTATTTTTCATCATTGTGTATTGCAGTTTCTGGTCTACATAAGGATTGCTGAGTTTGTTTGCACTTTAATAAATAGTCCATTAAAATGCTTTCAGTTGTTGATTTCTTGGTTTCTTGGTCTCCCAAGCACCAAAGACGCTTCCTGGGTTAAAGGAAGTTTACTCGTTGTCTTCTTCCTCCTGGTTGGCATAGATCCCTGCTTCCCAGCGCAACGCCAGTGCGCTCTTTCTTCGATTAACCCGTGTGGCCTCAAGGACCTGTAAGGAGAGGGGAAAAAATTATGCAGAGTTCATGGATGTTAATTATGAACACAAACCAATTTCTCTGTTTCTTTCTTCCTTTCTCTTTATCAGCTTGAGAGGAGAAAGTGATAAAGTGTCTAGTACTGCGGCGAGATAGGAAAGATGCTGGGAAAAGGGAATGGGAGGTTCTGGTTATGCATTCATCTCACAGCCAAAATTCATCTGCTCCTTGATCCCTGGTTTTCACTACAGAGAGATTTAATTTTCATGAAATGTTCTGCAAGTTTCTTTGAACTAGACGTGACTCTGTATCAAGTTTTCAGACAAAGAAGATCCCTGCACACAATAGATCAGTGCTGTCCAATTGAACTTTATGCAATGTTGAAAATGTATCTCTGCTATCCAATATGGTAGCCACCAGCCACATGTGGCTATTGAGCACTTGAAATAGGATTAGTATGGCTGAGAAGCTAAATATTTATTTCATTTTAATAAATTTTAATTTGAATAGCTCCACGTGACTAGTGATTACCATATTGGACAGCACATTGTAGATGGTCTTAGTCTCTTCATAAACAAGCAAATCAGAAAGTAATTCCAAAAAATGGGACCAGTGTGGATTCAGTCCATCAAGCTTTGCAGACCTACCTAAGCTATAATGATATTTATAGTACAAAAACCCACTTCGGCAAAATTAAATGAAAAAAGCCATTAAATGGGGGAAAAAAAGGGTTCTTGGACCAATAAAAGCAATCTCA